TTAGCTAAGCAAATCGCACTTAGACTATCACAATACACTGTAGCAAAATCCTGTGCAATACCCAGTTCACCTACTAGGCCTTTGAGCCAAATAGACTCCTTAGCTGCAGAAGTTAAAGCCATATACTCAGCTTCAGTAGTTGACAACGTAACTGATGACTGCAATGTAGACTTCCAACTAACCACAGAACCACCCAAAGTGAACACATAACCAGTCACAGACCTCCTGGTATCCACATCAGCTGCATAATCAGAATCACTGTACCCAGTGACCAAGCATTCCCTACCATTCCCGTACACAAGACCAATATCAGTTGTCCCTCTCAGGTAGCGAAAAATCCTTTTCACCCCTTGCCAGTGTTCCCTCCCAGGTCGAGCCATAAACCTGCTTACAACACTAACAGCATGCGCAATATCCGGCCTAGTACAGACCATAGCATACATCAAACAACCAACCGCGTTTGCATATGGAACTCTAGACATATAAGACAACTCCTCCTCTGATTGAGGTGACATAGACAAAGACAACTTACAACTAACAGTAGTTGGCGTACTTATAGGCTTCGATTTTTCCATCCCAAAACGAGACAAAATCTTTTCAATGTAGCTTTTCTGAGTCAAGAAAAGCTTACCTCTAGCCCGATCCCTGTAGATCTCCATACCCAAAATCTTCCTAGCTGCACCCAAGTCTTTCATGTCAAACTCCGAGTTAAGCATCTCCTTTAATCTAGCAATATCAGATTTATTCTTTGTGGCAACCAACATGTCATCAACATATAACAAAAGATAAATCATGGAACCATTATCCAGCTTACTATGATACACACAGCAATCATATGAATTCCTGTCAAAACCTTGTGAAACCATAAAAGAATCAAACCTTTTGTACCACTGTCGGGGGGATTGCTTAAGTCCATACAATGACTTTAGCAATCTGCAGGCATAGTGTTCCTTTCCAGGAACTTCGAATCCTTCGGGCTGCTTCATCAGAATCTCCTCCTCCAAATCGCCATGAAGGAAAGCCGTTTTAACATCCAACTGCTCCAGCTCAAGATCAAAATGTGCTACAATTGACAATAACACACGGATAGAAGTATGTCGAACCACAGGTGAGAATATCTCAACAAAATCAACCCCTTCTACCTGACTGAACCCCTTAGCAACTAGCCTAGCCTTAAAACGTATTTGCTCAGTTTCCGACAACCCTTCTTTCTTCTTGTAAATCCATTTACAACCCACAAGCTTCCTCCCTTCCGGTACCTTTACCAGTTCCCACACTCTGTTCTTGTAAAGAGACTGCATCTCTTCACCCATTGCGGCAAGCCATTGCGCAGACTCACTACAACTAATTGCTTGTTTATAAGTATTAGGTGACTCGTACTTCGTAGCTTTGTCCGCCCGATCGGGCGGACATTGCCCGGTCTGACCGGGCGGTGGGGGTTGGATACGTTGAAGCATTCGTATGGAGTTTTCTTCTCGCGCCCGATCGGGCAGACCTTGCCCGGTCTGACCGGGCGGAGAAGGAAAAATGCGGAGACGCGGATTTTACGATTTAAAGTTATCTTTTATGTTATCTTTTTGCCCAAGTATCTTTTATTTTAGGGATTAATATAAAACCTCCCTAATATTAGTATAAGGGTTAAAGAGAGAGAGAGTGAGAGCCGTTCTTGAGAAATACAAGAATCATCTTTGTAATCTTTGCAGTTTATAGTGAAATCATTCGATCTCGGTGCCCGTGGACGTAGCTATCACATCGATAGTGAACCACGTAAATTCTTGGTGTTGTTCTTATTGTTTGCATTGAATTTCTTTATTGTTTTCTTGTTTGTTTTCGACCTTTGCTTCCGCTGTCGCACAACAATTGGTATCAGAGCTCAGGTTCAATCCTTGGAGAGTTTCTTGAAGATAACAATGGCAGGAGATTCAACAATAAGAATTGAGAAGTTTACCGGGAAAAATAGTTTCGGGCTATGGCAAATTAAGATGAAGGCTCTGTTAAAACAACAGCAGATATGGCGTCCGTTGGCTCCAAAGAGTACTACTTCGGAGTCAGAAGATGGACCGACTGACCCGCAGTTAGAAGTTATGGAAGAGAAGGCACACTCTACCATATTACTTAGTCTTGATGATCAAATCATCACGGAGGTGGCTGATCAGGAAACGGCGGCTGGATTGTGGCTGAAGCTGGAGTCATTGTATATGACTAAGTCGTTGACCAACAAATTATTACTGAAACAGCGGTTGTTTAGCCTCCGGATGCAGTCAGGTACTTCCTTACGGGAACATCTAGAAAAACTTAACTCTATTTTGCTTGATTTACGTAATTTAGATGTTAAAATTGATGATGAGGATGCTGCGTTGATTTTACTTGTATCTCTACCGTCTAGCTTTGAGAATTTTGTAGAGTCTTTTGTTGTTGGTAAGGATTCTATAACCTTAGAAGAAGTGAAGGCAGCACTTCATACTAGGGAACTCAGAATGAAAGCTACGAGTGATAATGGGGATAATGGTAGTGGGTTGTTTGTTAAGTCCGGAAAGTCTAAAAAGAATAAGGGGTTTAACAAGGGGAACAATGCTGGGTCGGGTGCTGGAAACGGCAAGGATGGATCTAGTAAAACTACTACTAAAACATGTTATTACTGTAAAGAACCGGGTCACTTTAGGAATAATTGTCCGGTGAGGAAAAACAAGTCCCAGGCTGCTGTAGTTGAAGAGAAACCGAATGAGAGCTATAATTCAGAGGAAGATTTAGCATTAGTCAGTTCTGCTAGGTCTGATGATTTATCTGATAACTGGGTTCTAGATTCGGGGTGTTCGTTCCATATGTGTCCACGTCGAGATTGGTTTGATACATATGAACCTCGCAATGGGGGTATGGTTATAGTCGGTAACAATGCTCCATGTAAGGTCACAGGTATTGGTTCCATGAGGTTGAGGACTGTTGATGGGCGGAGGTTAACTTTGACTAATGTACGGCATGTTCCTGCTTTAGGAAAGAATCTGATTTCATTGGGTACCCTGGATGACTTGGGGTACAATGGTGTGTTTTCAGATGGGGAGTTGTGTATTTTCAGAGGTTCTGAGTTGGTACTTAAGGGTATCAAAAGGAACACCCTCTATGTTTTTGAGGGTGTTACACTGCCTAGTTCTGCGGTTTGCGCATCTGTATCTCACCAGGAGATGACTAAGATTTGGCACATGAGGCTTGGTCATATGGGGGAGAAGGGGATGCAGCTATTGTCCAAGAGGGGTCTTCTATCCGGGGTCAAGGTTGCCAACCTTGAATTTTGTGAGCATTGTGTGTTTGGTAAGAAACACAGGTCAAAGTTCAGCAAGGGTGCTCACATTACTGATGCAGTGCTCGATTACATCCATTCAGATTGCTGGGGTCCATCTAGAGTTGAAGGTATGGGAGGTTACCACTATTTTGTGTCATTTGTTGATGACAAGTCCCGATACACATGGCTTAGGTTGCTTAAGTCAAAGGATGAGGCCTTCAAAGTTTTCAAGCAATGGAAAGCTTTGGTGGAAAATCGACAAGGAAGGAAGATCAAGAAGCTACGAACGGACAATGGGCTAGAGTTTTGCAAAGACGAGTTTAATCAGTTCTGTGCAGATGAGGGTATAGGTCGGCATCATACTGTCAGGAAGACACCACAGCAGAACGGTGTAGCAGAACGGGTTAATCAGACACTGCTAGAGAGAGTTCGATGCATGCTCTCTAATGCAGGGCTTGGGAGGAGGTACTGGAGTGAAGCTGTGTTAACAGCTTGTTATGTCATTAATAGGGGTCCTCATTCTGGAATTGATTCCAAAATTCCGTTTGAGATCTGGAGTGGTAAGTTGCCTAATTTTTCGAATTTGAAGATTTTTGGTTGTGTTGCTTATTATCATGTTATTGAGGGTAAGCTGGATCCACGAGCCAAGAAGGGGTGTTTTGTTGGGTACGGGGATGGTGTGAAGGGGTTTAGAATTTTTTCACCTTCGGAGGGTCGGGTCATTCTTAGTAGGGATGTTACTTTCGATGAAAACACCATGTATTCAATTAAAAATGCAGAGATTTCAGATTTGAGAAGGGAAGGAGACAATTTATTACAGACAGATGGGGTACTTGAGGTACATCAGTCTACCATTGCTGATTTACCTCGGGTACAATATATTGATGATGATGCTGATGTTCCAGTGCCGGGTACTCCTGAACCTGAGATTACTCCTACTCATTCTAACTCTGGGGATGAGGTGGAGCAATCTAATCAGGGGTCATCTAGTCAACCTGACACCATTCTTGAGATGCCTAAACGAGTTATCAAGAAGCCTGTTAGATTGATTGAAGAGATGGAGGGAAGAAATTGCTGTGTTGATGCGATGACAGGTTATGCATTGAGTGTAGCTGATGATGTAGAGTCATTTGAACCTGCCACATATAAACAGGGTTACTATTAGTTTGGGGCTGGTCATGTCATTTTTGACACCTTTAAGTGGAAGTCATTTGGTTGTGGTGTGGTGGGTGTCGTTCAATTGTGAAGGTTGGTGTTTGTGGCCCTTGATGGTGTGTATCTAGTGACCAATGGTGGCAGTGTTGTTTGGCCATCACCAATAGTGGTGAATGGTGATGGTGGTGAGAGGGTGGGAGGTGGTGAATGGTGATGATGGTGAGAGGGTGGGAGGAACGGAGAAAGTGGTGGGGAGGGGCCCGGACTAGCTTGAGTTTAGCTAAGGATAGTTTGAACATTCCAAGCATTTAGTGTGGGTGATCTTAAATAATAATTGTAGAAGTGGAATACAAATTTCCTTATGTAATGTTTATATCTCGTCGAAGATTGAATCCAAATTCAATTCTTGTCTCTATTTCTACATATAATAATAATTAATTAGACGCTTATTTATTTAATAAATAATAATCAAAATTTTGTAGAATTTGACCTTTATGCACACGTCGCAAGTGAAAATTACATATGAATTCCTTGGAGATATAACTACTGTAGACCACAAACAATTCAATCAATCTTTCAAAAAATATCAACGACTTTCAAATTAGACTCCCAAGTCTATAGTTCTTCCTCCTTTTATAGAAAAATCATCTCATTAATTTCCTTAATTTTCATCACTTCCCTACCTCTTCAATCATGCAAACATCTCCAAAAGTACACCTACTAATTATCATAGTATTTTCTACTATTACTAATATACTCATCCAAAAAGCATACACAACATCATCACCTTCTTCAAATTGTGATGGCAACGTTATATTATCCTTTCCAACCTTCAATGCATCAAGTTGTAAACCAGGGGGTGACCTTTTGTGCATGGGAGCCATCTACCCCGGCGAGGGGTTCTTGAACTTAACCAAGGCTGCGTCGAATAACTTGTCGTCGTTGGATTACATGAGATTCGCTAGAGTATTGTACAATAAACCTGTACAAGTATGGCCAGCTTCATTTTGTACAAGCTTCTCCTTTAGAATTTATTCTAAGCTTAATCAGTTGAAGTATTCTGGTGATGGTATGACATTTGTTATGGCTCAAGATAATAAGTCTCCCCCAAATATTAGCGTTGGCTCTTATCTTGGTCTTCAGGATCAACTACAAGGTTATAATTAAATACATACATACTCTGTAATATTTTTCCCATAAAATTGTTTTATTCGAGCTACTACTTTCATTACATATTATGTGTAACTTTTGAATTTTTTATCTCACAAGTAATACCTAAAATTTGCACATAATATGTTATATAAGATAGAGGTAGTACATATAATTTGAACTAATCCAAATTCAAATGAATGTCTTTTGTTTAAAAATAAGTCAAGATACTTTGATTTTAGATAACTTGTCAATTATTGCATCTCTGTTTTTTTTTTTTTTGTAATTCTTGTTTTCTTTGTAAGAGTCAGTAGACTCGTATTAATGTGTATTTTTCAACAATTGATTTAGGAAAGTCGGATTTCAAACAACTAGCTGTCGAGTTTGACACATTCAAGAACGAGTGGGATCCTGATGATAATCACATAGCGATTGATACATACAGCGCGATGCATTCTTTGGTTGCAAAGTCATCTCCCATTGATCTCAAGAGTGGGAACCAAATCAAAGTCCAGATAGAATATAATGGACACACAAAAAATCTTCAAATTTATATGGGTTATGAAGGGAAACCATTAACTAGTTTCCTAAACTACTCGATAAAAGTATCAAAAATAATCCCAAAAAATGTATACATAGGTTTTACAGCAGCAACTGGACTTCTCACTGAGACTCACCAACTTCATGATTGGGTGTTCACTTCCACAATATTATCAGACAACACTTTGAAAGATAACAAGAAATTATGCATCATCATTTTGTCAATTGTTATACCAATTTTAGTCCTCTTGGCAGTGATTGCAATACCTGTCATTCGACGTAGAATGATTAGGAAGATGCAGAGGATTAGAAGAATGGAAGAGCTTGAGAGGCAGTATGCTGCTGCTGCTGCCGCGGCTCCTAGGAAGTTTACTTACAAACAACTTGCTAAGGCTACTAAGAATTTCAGCAAGGATAATTTGTTAGGGACTGGTGGTTTTGGGAGTGTTTATAAAGGTGTTATCAAGAATTCTGTTCAGACTATTGCTGTCAAGAAGATCTCATCTACCTCTCAGCAAGGTAAAATAATGTCAAATTATCTTATATATCATCATGTTATAATAGCATATCATACACTTAGACTAACAAGAAGTTTATATTCATTTTTGCTTGCTAGGTGAGCGCGAATATATAGCAGAAATATGTACAATTGGGCATCTAAGGCATAGAAACATATTGCAACTTCAAGGGTGGAGTCATGAAAACGACAGTCTTCTTCTTGTATATGACTTCATGGCTAATAAGAGCCTAAATGAATTCCTCTCAGGCCGAAAATTCTTGGATTGGAAGACGAGGGAAAAAGTAATAACTGGCTTAGCATCAGCATTGTTGTACCTTCATGAAGAATGTGGTGATCCAGTGGTTCATAGAGATGTGAAGCCTAGTAATGTCATGCTAGATGCAGAGTTCAACCCGCGTCTTGGTGATTTTGGGCTTGCTAGATTGCTAAAGAACACAACCGGGGTCACCACAATGGTGGCGGGAACCCTAGGGTACATGGCTCCTGAGGTGAGCTACACCGGAAAGGCAACAACTGAGTCGGATGTGTATAGCTTTGGCGTGGTGGCGTTGGAGGTGGTGTGTGGAAAAAGGTTTAGTACCCTCCTAGGGGAAAGTTGCTTGGTAGACTATGCATGGGATATGTATGCAAAGGGTACATTGGTAGAGTGTGTGGATCCTAAACTTGGGGAAGATTTTTTCAAGGATAAAGCCGAAAGGATTTTAAGTTTGGCACTTGCGTGTTTGCATTTGGAATCGAACTTGAGACCTAAGATGAGAAAAGTGGTTATGGTTTTGTTAAATTCAAATGAACCTCTTATGAAACTCCCTTCTACTCGCCCTAAAGGAGTATATGTGTCATTATCTGGATTCTCAAATCCGCCTAGTACTAGTAATAATTCTAAGCCTAGTACACCTTTATTTTCATGGCCTGATTACCCTTCATCTAGCACTAATACAAGCTTTCAAAATGAATCTTTGGCACGGTAGAAAATGTCATTGTTCTTCTATGTATTATTATATCTAAGTAGTTTTATAGCTAAGAATACGAAGCTATTGGTGTACAACAAAGTTTGAATTGTTCCTAATAATATTGTAGATATTCATACATATTCAAACAGCAATCGTAATTGAAAAATAAATAAATACTATCGTGTACCAAAAAAAAATTACTTTTATTTTGTAAAAAATAAAAAATATAAAAACCATCGTAGACGTGTCTTATCTTGCCACTAAGCTAAGATCTCATTGTCTTCTCATTGGTATCATAATAAAACCGGTCTCGTAGCCAGGCCACGAGACAGTGATACTTGACATTTTAATTTTTCGCCAAATGTCACGTCATGTAGGTGACAACTAGGTACTATTGTGACATATATGATGCTAAGTAATACGAGTAAAGTTTTCTTGCTCATTTTCCTATTCACCATATATTGTAACGAACCTCCCTGTTCTCATGGCGGCCGTGGAGAAATTTGTCATGGTCAGTGATCACTACACTCTTAAAGTTGATGTCCAAAAACAATGCATCATCAAGTAACTATGTAGTATTAATAAATAAACTTTTGTCTAGCCGCCCCTCATCCCAACACATTCGTTATTATACCTCTAGTCTGAACTGAATTTCCCCCCCCCCCCCCTCTCATTTACTCATTAAATTCGAAAAAAAATTGGGTAGAAAATAACTTAATATTGGGATATTGAATCTTCTATTCCTCAATATGTGCTATTTATATTGGATCTTGCTAACGAACGCCCTGAAGCGTAAGATAACTAATTAATTTATTACTCAAAATAGTATTAAGTTATAAATGCATAATAAAATCACGCGTCAATAAGTATAACTTTATTCAAATCTATAATTACATCAATCTCAATCAACCAATTGAAGAAATCAACACACTAAATACATGGCTGGTACACAAATTATAGGATACGTAAAAACTTAATATATGATCCATATTTGAAATTAATTTTATGTCTTCTTCAATGTGTACATTATATAAGGCCTTTACATTATACGAGTATGTCTCAACTTTGTCACAATATATGTCCAATCTTATAATTACAATATTACATATACTCTGTATCAAATACAAGTATTAAATAAACATTAGGTATAATATTACTGTCACTCACACTATAGATTCTCTGTCATCTTTTTATTCAAAAAGTGAGTGTGCGACATCATAATGGATCCAATCCATTTTCTTATACAAATACTATAACATATTTTCCATCTAACATCATAAAAAATGTCTACATTTTTTATATTGGAGATCGAACAAAGATGTTGATTCTTATTATTATTGAATTTATAGTCAACTTGGGTCGTCCCTAGCGTCTGTTACACGATTAATAAAGAAATTTCTATGTGGTCCATATTAACTTAATTCCTCTGGTTAAGTTAATATAGACCTCATAGACATTATTTTTTAATTTGATTCTTAAGCATATTTCTAGAACGTTTTCAAAAAGTAATTATAAAAAATTTATAACAATGATCAAATTGTGTGTATATTTAATAAAATGTCCGTCTCCAATATATGAAAAATATGCTAATTAAGTATAAACTAAGTTGATTAATTTTGTTATGACATAAAATCAAGTCATAACGCTATGATCAAAATAGTTCATATCAAATATTGTAATGGACTATATTGAATTTAACCTATTATATTAATCAAGCAATTAAAAATCAAGTAATAACAATATTTGATTAGTATAATTCATATGAAATACCTAATTAGCTTAACACAATTTTTTTATGCGGCCTGGTGTACTGTGCGGCAGGAGTTACTCGAGTTTCTCGGTCAGGGATTACCGGGTTACTCGAGTTGCCGAGGTTACTCTTAGCTAATTACTCGATTAAGGGTTATTCGAGTTGTTGAGGTTACTCAAGTTACTCAGTCAGGGGTTACTTGAGTTACTCCTGACCGAGTAACCCCTCAAGTAACCCCTGACCGAGTAACCCCTCGAGTAATCCATGACCGAACCCTTCGAGTAACCCCTGACTGAACCCTCAAGTAACCCCTGACCGAGTAACCCATGACCGAACTCCTTAAGTAACTCCTGACCGAATTACTCGAGTAACCCCTGATCGACCGAACTCTTTAAATAACTCCTAACAGAGTAACTCGAGTAATCCCTGACCGAGTAACTCGAGTAACCCCTCAAGTAACCCTTGACCGAGTTACCCCTTGAGTAACCCCTGTGTGAACCCTTCAATTAACCCCTGACCGAGTAATTCGAGTAATTTCTGACTGAATAACTCGGGTAACCCCTGCCACACAGTTTAGCCTACTGCACCAAAAAGTTATTGTTAGCTTAATGGACTATACTAAACTCGACTGATCATATAAATCAAACTAATCCTATAGTTGTAATCAGAATTGGTATTGAGTCCAAATTTTATATATATATACATAATAATCTTGCCATTATTTTAAGTCAACACCAGAACACCATATCTTATTAAACAAAACAACATAGGATACGAGGCCCTTAATTCAGTACTACTATCAAATTTAGTAATAAGCACTGAGCCAAAAACTATTGATTTATACTATAGATACTTTGTCGAAACCTAACCTTTCTAAAATTCATTTATTGCAATTAAAAATTAACGGAGATAGTATAATCTGTAGGGATAATGTAAACAACTTCATTTTCCCCGAAAAAAATTCTTTTATTGTCCATATGTGAATTGTCCATTAAGAAAATACTTTGTACCACCTTAAGTAGTAGAGTAATGAAGATAATCAAGGATTCAAGGTCTAGATTAAGTTTCTTTACGAAGTACGACAAAGATTTAAAAAAAAATAAAAAATAAAAAAAGAAAGTTTCCTTTATGAAAAAAAAGATAATAATAAAAAGGCAAAAGCCCTAGATTAGTTTTTAGAAAAGATAAGTGGCATAATTTAAGGTGTAGGTCCATGTTAAAATACAAGTTGCAGAAATAAAACGTGGTAGGTCATTGTTTGATTATCCTTTACCTAATTGAAAATTCTAATGTAGTCTTATGACTTTGACTATTATAATTTTTTAAAATGGTCAGTTGTGATTATTTCTTTTTTAATTTATTTTTAAAAAGATCGCACGGTTTTTTTATCTAAGATTTTTAATTATTTGATTTATTGTATTTAATAATTTCAGACAAAATTACAAAAGTTTAATATTTTTTTATTTATCATAATTTATAATAAATTTATTAAATATGAATAAATTGTAAATATGATATTTTTTCCGTTATATAAGATCTTTAATGTGAAATGATAAATTTTTAATAATTTAAATCCTAAATCATTATTCATTGTTTTACCATATCTTTTATTTCGATAGAAACACCAACCTCGTCCATAACCAACCTACTACATCAATAGATAAATTGAACCGTAAAATGTTAGCCAAACTGAATTTGATATAAATTAAATCTTTACTTTAATATAAAATAAATCAACATATTTACCAATAAATGAAAAATTGTTGCAATATAAAATCAAATATATGCATTGGAATTTTTTCATCATGTTCAAAAATAACCAAAGCTATCCATATATTAAGTATATGGCATCTAATAATCGTTAAGTATCCTAAATAAATACAATGTAACTAATAATTAAAAATATAAATTTAAACATAAGATTTTAAAAATTATCAGGACATTGATGACCTGAAACTAACACAAAATTCGCTTGATGGGGTTTTGTATTGATACGAAATTTTATTTGTGTCGTATGATGTGTTAGATCTGCATGTAAAAAAAACATTTAATTAATAAAACATAAACACACAATCGTTGAGTATCCCAAATTAATACAATGTAAGTAATAATTAGAATACTAATTTAAACATAGGATTTTAAAAATTAAGCTAAAAATTACCCGTCCATTAATGACCAAAAATTAACACAAAATTACTAACGCAAAATTTGCTTGATGGGGTTTTTTATTGATACGAAATTTTGTTTGTGTCGTATGATGTGTCAATTTATAATGGTAGGTATCACAAATTTTAATTTAATTATAATTAACGAACAATTTGTATTTTTTATCATAAATACTATCAAAATTTATCTTATAATGATAGGTATCAAACTTTATTATAAGCGTTTATCATTTAAATATTTCTTTGTATATTTTTTTTTTTGGATTTCTTATACTCGTAGTATTGAATTAATAAATTTATCTTTTCCTATATTTTTACTTTTTTTTTTATTAAAAAAATTTAATTCGTGGATTATAATCTACGTGGCATTAAAATTTTAGATATATCAAATCTAATTCGTTACTTTTATCTAGGTGGCGACATAATTTTTTAATTCAAAAATAAAATACAAATCTTTCTTCTTATTGGTCGAAATAAGTATATTTCTTACGTGGCGCTACGAATGCTCTCGAAAAATGCCTACTTTATTTATATAATATAAGATTAGTAATTTTAATTAAAAATTATTTTTTAATTAATTTATATATTTTTTCTATTTCCAGAATTTCGAAAATATTAAAAAAAAAAAAATTTCTAGAAGATTAAAATATATTTAAAATATTTAATTTATTATTTTTAATTAAAATTACTATTTAAAAATAAATCAAAAAACAAATTATCTCACTCGTCCATTAAAAAATTGTGGTAGTCAAAAATCATAAGACTAGCCGCAGAAATTGTACGTTAGTCCAACTTTAAGCTTAGTTTAATGGGTTGATTCACTGTACCAGTTGTTTGGTAGCTAGGTGTCTTCTTTCTACTGTATAAATAATTAATAAGGGTGCTAGCTAATGAAATTAACGAGACAACTCGCGAGATATTTAAGGTCACCTCGGCCAAAAATTAATCTCGACTTGAATAAGCTTGACTCAAAACTAGACCTGACTTAAGATACTGTATTAACTAGTTAAGTCAACCTTGTAGTTAACTCAACATTATTTCTTGTATGCATATGTAAGGATGGGATCTATTATAACTTTCGATGATAAAAGATAAATCATCTACATCGATCAAGACCATCGTAAAGATGGGATCTATTATTATAAGCGATTAAAAAGGGATTTTGGGGCTTACCACTGATCAAGGAACCAGTGGTTGCCCCTACCAATAATTACAATGGAGATCAAGGTGAGAAGGATGAAAGAGGAAAAAGGGAGAATGGGAGAAGATTGAAGGAAAACCCTACAAAACTGGAAAAACCCTAGCAAAAAATTAGGAAAAACACCCTCTCAAGAAGAAACTTAGAGGAAAAACCCTAGCAAAAAATTAGGAAAAACACCCTCTCAAGAAAAAATTTAGAGGAAAAACCCTAGCAAAAAAACTAGGATTGGTCAAAATTGAGAAGCTAGGAAGTAACACATATCTATTTCGTATAAGTATCCTACTTTGTTAAAAGATGACCTGAGTTAAATACTAGAAATTTGATCATTAATGGTCAAAAGTCAGTATTTTTATATTCTAGCGGGATTACTTAAAATATTTGATAGCATTAATTATTTCAAACATCTCTATAATTTTTAACGAAAAACATTATTCACAAATTATAGTTTCATTCTCCTTTTTTCCACATGGGATGGTTGCCTTGGCCTTTATATATTAGATGTTTAGGAATTGAAAAACACTGGTATTTTTTGTCGCAATACCTTTGCATTATTATTACCAGCACATCATTCATAGCCTTAAGAAAAGGTTCATCTAATAGTACAACCATCTCAATATCTCATCTCAACATTTCAATTCCCATCTATCTCCTAAAAGGCTAAAACAAATTAAACATCTAAACAAAAATGCAAAAATCTCCAATAAAAATTCCATACATCCTTCAAATTTCTACAATATTATTCCTCTTACAACAACAAAAATTACTAGTCACTTCATTATGTTCATCTACATGTGATTGTGATAAAAATAATGATGTAACATTCTCCTTTCCAACCTTCAACACTTCAAGCTGCAAACCAGAGGGTGGCCTTTTATGCATGGGAACAACCACCCCAGGAGAAGGGTTCTTGAATTTGACCACGGCCATACCGTCGAATACCTCGTCGAAGACGTCGGGGTATATGTCAGTTGCTAGAGTATTGTACCATAAACCTATACAAATATGGCCAGCTTCATTTTGTACAAGTTTTTCTTTTAGAATTTTCCCTGGCTTTAACCAGATGAATCTTTCTGGTGATGGCATAACATTTGTTATGGCTCAAGATAATAAGTCTCTCCCAAATATTAGCAATGGCGCTTATCTTGGTCTTCAGGATCCATTTCAAGGTTATATAGTTATCATTTTTTTCCCTTCAATTTCTTTTGTTTGTTTGTTTGTTTAACATATACTAATCCATAGAGCTTCCCACTTTGATCCTAGATTTTGGCTTGATCGAGGTTAACTAGTAGGTCTAGTACGTACTTCCTCCGTCTCCATTTGTTGTTCATAATACAGTATACGAGTAACTTTTTTTAATCTCTTAAACCAAAGTACGAAGAACAAAAAAGAGACAGAAGGAGTATTGTCTAATGGTTTTATTTTAACGTTAAGCATAGGGTTGTCGTTTACTAACTTCTTCAACCTTCGTGTTTCTATGTATACACTCTGTATCTGATAAGCTGTCCTTTTAATTATTCGACAATTCTTTATTTACCATAGTTTAAAATCAGTACAATTATAGGATTATCAAATTACTCTGTTCTTTTGTTTCAAAAAATAAAAAATAAAAATAAAAATTACTCTGTTTTTTTTTTTTCTTTGGTTGTATTAGTCTCATTTTATGAGTCAAAGTTTTATAAGGTACTTTTATTGTATTCGCTAATAAAAACAAGTAATATGAGATTTTACAAGACTCGTTTTAATGTATACTTTCTAATGGTTGATTCAGGCAACATCGATTTCAAACAACTAGCAATCGAGTTTGACACATTCAAGAACGAATGGGATCTAGACGACAACCACATCGGGGTCGATTCATTAAGTGTAATGAAATCTCTAACATCCCAGACCCTAAATTCATCCAACATTGATCTCAAGAGTGGGAAACAAATCAAAGTCAAGATAGAATACAATGGATACGAAAAACAGTTACAAATTTATGTGAGTTATCAAGGAAAACCATTAAAAAGTTTCCTAAAATTCCCAATAAAAGTGAAAAAATATGTCCCAAAATATGTGTACATAGGTTTTACAGCATCAACTGGACTTGCTAGTGAGACACACCAACTACATGATTGGGTGTTCACTTCCACAAAATTGCCAAACAGCACTTTGAGGGATGACAAGAAGTTATGCATCATCACTTTGGCAAGTGTTTTACCGGTTTTAGTGGTGTTAGTCCTCTTGTCAGTGCTTGCAATTCCTGTCATTCGACGTCGAATTATTGACAAGAGGGAGATGGTTAGGAGAATGGAAGAGCTTGAGAGGCAGTACGCTGCCACTGGCTCGGCTCCTAGGATGTTTACTTACAAGCAGCTTGCTAAAGCTACTAAGAATTTCAGCCAGGATAATTTGTTAGGAAGTGGTGGTTTCGGAAGTGTTTATGAAGGGCATTTTGTTGATCCTCCTCAAACTATTGCTGTTAAGAAGATTTCAGCCACCTCTGAGCAAGGTAATTAACTGTTTTTAACCTCAAGAATTTTTTTTATTGAGATACTCGATAAAGTAGCACCACATCACCAGTGTTACACCTAATAAAAATATATATAGAACATAAAGAATAAAATTTAGCACTTATTGAGCTATTTATGGTGTTCGCTCCAATAGATATATTTTCGTAGTCATAGTACACAACAATCTAATCTAATTTAATGTTAGTTGAAATTCTTTTATCATACTACACAATCTAATCTAATCTAATAAATAATTATAAATTGTTAGTTGAAATTTGGTATTGGTATTGTCAATGAATATATGCTATTCCTTTTGCCTCAAATTAGTTAGGGGCGGCAATTTGGTTAGTAGGTCAGGTTCGGGTCAATTTTGAGTCGTGCTTAGAAACTATCAAAAATAGTATAAAACTTAATATTATTATGAAATATGAACTTTGGGTCAAATAGGGTCGAATTCGGATTGTTCGGGTTCGGTTCGAGTCGGATATGGATTTCTCTCGATAACTTCGGGTCGGGTCAAGGATTGCCAACCCTAAAATTAGTTGTTATTATTTGACTTTACATGGTCCGCAAAATACACCACCTTTAACCATATGTTTGTATTGATATGAATTTAAAATATATAATATGTTGATTGTCGTTGCAAAAAACATATAAATAAAAATATGATCATAATTTTATAAATTTGGGTTTAAACGTCAAATGACAAAACTATTTAGTGATGGAAGCAGCTAGTAATACCAAAAGATTTTTCCCCCTTGGTTCCTTTAATTTAACAGGTGAGAGGGAGTATTTGGCAGAAATATGTACCATTGGGCGTCTAAGACACAGAAATATATTGCAACTCCAAGGTTGGAGTCATGAGAACAACCAACTTCTTCTTGTATACGACTTCATGGCGAATAAGAGCCTTAATGAGTTTCTAACAGGGCAAAGCTTCCTTGATTGGAAAACGCGGCGCAAAATACTTACCGGCTTGGCATCAGCATTGTTGTACCTACATGAAGAATGTGGGGATCCGGTAGTGCATAGAGATGTGAAGCCTAGTAATGTGATGTTAGATGCCGAGTTCAACCCCCATCTTGGTGATTTTGGGCTTGCTAGACTGCTTAAGAACACCGCGGGAGTCACTACAATACTTGCCGGAACCCTAGGGTACATGGCCCCAGAGTTGATCTACACTGGCAAGGCAACAACTGAGTCGGATGTGTATAGCTTTGGAGTGGTGGCATTAGAGGTTGTGTCCGGAAAGAGATTTAACAACCTCATTGGGGAAAATTGCTTAGTAGACTTTGCATGGGATATGCATGCTAAGGGTACTTTGGTTGAGTGTGTAGACCCTATGCTAAATGGGGAGTTTAACAAGGATGATGCTGTCAAGGTTTTAAGTGTGGCACTTGCGTGCTTGCATTTGGACTCCAACTTGAGACCGAAGATGCGAAAAGTCGTCATGGTTTTGCTGAATTCGGATGAACCTCTTATAGAACTCCCTAGTACTCGTCCTAAAGGAGTTTATGTGTCACTCCAAGGAATTTCAAATCCTTTTATTTAGGTGTATCATTTTGTACAGCATTCGGATGATCCTTCTCTTCTTGGTATTCAAATTGCCTAGATTAATCTTTGCCTTAATGAAGTTTAATTTGTTCCTATTAGTGTACTTCATAATTCATATATATACCCTGATATAAATTGTATAGATGATGTAAAATCAAACAAACTTCTATTAAAATATGGTTGTTTCATATATTTAGTGCAGCCAACACGAGCTTCAAACATAATGATACAATTGAGTTTTTTTTAGAATGGACTATTTTTTTATATGCAATTTAAAATATTCTATAAGTCAAGCTATATAAAATAATTACCTAAATGTCATTTAAATAGGTTTAAAAGGTTTTACGACGTTACTTTTGCTGAAACTTCACTTGAAAGTAGATTTAGATAGCAATCGTAATAGTTGATTAATTTTAAGCTAAATGATTCCCTTATTTTCACGATAGTTTATTGCAAAAACTCTACTAATTGGCAATTATCGCTTCCTTTTTATAGGCTTATCAAATCAAAATTAGAGATAATTTGATATTTTAGTATAATTTGTGGAGTACTGTATAAATCTTAAAAACTCAGTGCTTTGCTTTATAAAAAAGAATACTAATAGTTCAAGGTTGAAGTTCCGCCGCTTCAACAACAGAACTGTCACAACCAACAGAAAATCAAAATCAAAATCAATATCTATGGTATGCAAATACGTACTGTTGCAGCTCATTTTCGCAGAACCCTAGCTTCATTTTCCAGGTTATACACCATTTTATAATTAATACTCTCTGTTTTCTTCTTCTACTAGCATTACATTATATTTTGGTTGATTCTTCAATTATGTTGTTTGATCCTCTCGGTATTTTGAGTTTTGTTCAAATGTATGCTGTAATTTGTTTTTGGAGGCTTCTTTTGATTGAGTGGTTAATTTGATGGGTTAGTCTTTCTGGGTTTGGTTAATTAGCTTGTGATTGTTGTGGAAAAGTTACAAGAATTGGATGAGGATGTTGACAAAATGGTGAATTATTTTGTGGGTAATTGTTCATTTTTGCATTTTGGAAGTGATTTGAAAAAACTATTTTGATTAGGTGGTACTTTGTATTTCCTAGTGCTCAAATGTTTTGAAGCATGGATAGTTTGATGGGTAATTTTGCAACTTTGGAACAAAAAATGTTGTCAAAATCACAACTTGTGCTTGTACTTCTGACTATATGATTGGATAATGATTTGCTTGATATTGATGTGATTGTGGACACTGGACTGCTTGGTTTGATATGATCTTGTTTACAAATGAGAGGATGCAGTCGATTTTCACTGTCAAAGAATTACTAAATTTGAACATTGATTTCACAAAGTACTTGATTCGAGAAACTGCTAACTTCTGAGGTTTTTAAGAAATTTCAGAGGCAATTCCAAGCTTTTAGACTTGTTGCTAGGTTAAAGTTTTGTCAGACATTGTGGTTCTGGTTGGAAGAGAGAAAGAAAGAAACGGAGCTTCCGTATGACTGAGGCGTGTACAATGCACGAATCACACTATTGATATGGGTTTAGATTTGTTGGAAATACTTGGTATGAGAATCATGAATCCCAGTCATTTTTTTAACATTGCATAACTTCAAATCTTCTATGTGCTTTTTTGGACTGGTCAATACTTAAGTAGTTTATTTTGAGGCCAAGTAAAAAGACGAACTTTAATCTATTTTTGATCCCATCACATTTACCATTTTCCATGAAAAGGTAGCGAGTATTTCTGGATTTCTAATTTTTTTTTTACTTCTGTCATTTGTGGTAGTGTAATTCATTTTTAAGAATGTTCTGTTGAATGAATGCTTGAATTTACGGGCATTTGCTATTTCCCGTTGTCATGTGCTATTATATTCTAATTAGCTAAAGTATCTCTGTACAGGAAAACTAAATAAGCTTGATTTACTTGTCAGGCACCTACAACAGCTTCAGAAAGGCTGCTCCACACTAAATACAGAATCCTGTCCTCAGATGGATTCCTCAGAGCGTTATTGCTATAACCCAACTCTTAATTGGAATCCTCAGGTTGAAGAATACTTCATTAAGGCATATGGTGCTGACCATTTTGATCGTATCTCTAAAGCTCTCACACGTCCATCTTGCTACTCTTGCCTACGTGTTAATGTAATGAAGACGACTAGTGATGCTGTCATTGAGAAGCTGTTGAGTATGCAACATGGAACAGATGGCAGAGACATAGACAATGATCTCATACACAAGTGCCCTATACCTGGGCTAGACTATGTTGTCTTTGTTCAAGGCACGGGACCTCATAAAATTGAATATGCTGATGTAACTGAACAGCCAGTAAAGGAGGTTATTGTAAGCCGCAAATGTGCTGAGGCTGTTCTTCGGGGTGCTCAGGTTTATGTCCCTGGTGTTTTGGCATGTAGTGCTCATGTTGAAAAGGGAGATTCTGTTGCTGTTTCTGTTGCTATTGAACAACCTGAAGCTGATGGTAAATGGGGAGGTACTGGAATAACACGTGGGATTGTACTTCAGGGCTCTGAGACAGATCCCCAATATTTTCAGCGGAAAGGCCTGTATATTGGAAGAGGAACTGCAATGATGTCTAGGGCCGGAATTTTCCGAGTGTTGCAAGGTGTTGCCATTTCTATGAGTAATAGGGTTTTTGATCTTCCTTCTTTTAACAATGTGCTCGAGGTGAGATTTTTCTCCAGAACCTTCCTAGCATTATTGCTGCTCATGCCTTAGATCCTCAAAAAGGTGAAAGGATATTGGACATGTGCGCAGCTCCAGGGGGTAAAACAACTGCTATAGCTATGCTTATGAGAGATGAAGGAGAGGTGGTTGCTGCAGATCGATCACACAATAAGGTAATGGATGTTCATAATTTGGCTGATGAAATGGGCTTGAAGTCTATAGTAACGTACAAGCTTGATGCTCTGAAGTCTGTTGCTACAGATGCTCTTGCTACAGAAAAAATATCTGGCAAGACTGAAGATACAAATTCGACGTCTTGTTCCATTGCTAAGGAAAAGATGAATGGTAATATGTTTCACAGGGAAAACGTAGTCAATGGAGATGGAAATGGACAAGTACCCAATATCATGTCTGTGTGCGGGAAGGATAAACAAAGAACCAAAAATGGGATTGGAAAGAATCATGTCAATGGTGGTAGAGTTGAAAAATCAAAAGGCTTTGCTCCTAATAGTTTTGATAGAGTTCTGCTTGATGCTCCTTGCTCTGCTCTTGGATTGAGACCTCGGTTGTTTGCTGGTGAGGAAACCTTAGAATCTTTGAAGAGTCATAAGAAATACCAGAGGAAGATGCTTGATCAAGCAGTGCAACTAGTTCGACCTGGAGGAGTTCTTGTATATTCGACTTGTACAATAAACCCTGGTGAAAATGAAGCTCTGGTGCGTTATGCTCTTGATAAATATTCGTTTCTGTCATTAGCACCCCAGCATCCAAGAGTTGGTGGGCCGGGCCTGCTTGGTCACTGTGAGCTGTCTGATGGGTATGTTGAGGAATGGCTAAAGCCTGGGGAAGAGGAACTTGTGCAGAGGTTTGATCCTTCTACATCTGACATAATTGGGTTTTTTATAGCCAAGTTTAAAGTTGGCTACAAAGAAGCATGAGTCCGATTGCTATGCGCAAGAGAAAATCTAACTAGTATACGGGTAGATTTCGGATTTTCTTTTTTTTTTTTGTCACTGCCTTTAACCGGATGGATCTCTTTGCTAAATCTTCCAAGATACTGTTTGAAGTTTGAGCCAATTTTCTTGTGGTGACTATCATGATGCTTATGATTTGAAGAATTTAGACACCATTCATTCTTTGATATAGCGTATTTGTATACTAATTATTCTTCTTGTGATAGCTTTTTCATAGATCGTTTAGTATCTCCTTGAGAAAGATTCATATGAAAAAAAAATAACGGCGTATCAGCCTAAGTATGAAGTGATGAAGTTCTGGTGAGCCTCCTGCAGCTTGTACTGGGTTCAAGTATCATAAAAGAGTCCTATCAATGTTGTATACTGGATTAGTTTAGGTGGAATGAATGTTTGGGGTTTGTTTTGATAAGTAGAAACCTCTATAGTAAACACCAAATTATCTCTTCAGTTACACAAGAAGATAGGGAGAACCCGAACTTCCCCATTACGTTATCTTGTTGATGTACGGTTGAACTGAACACCTATTATTTATTCTTGTACAGAAACTCTAATCTTTCCTTTGTTACTATACTGTCAGTTATGATAGCAGTTTAGCACTTCACGGCAAACACATGCCCAACAGACCGATGTATATTTTGATCAATTGCAATGCGATACTGATAGTGTTATACTGCTATGTACCATTATAATGGCAAATCCTTACACTATTGAGAATCTCTTTAACATTATGTTTGGTTGGCATATGTGGAGGAAAAAGAAGGGAAGGAATAGTCACGCAATGTCACGAGTCGTCTCCCTCATCAAATATGGGCGTTGAATGGGTCATTAGACACCAAGGCATAATCAGGTTGCCCATGGTGTGTGGAAGCACACTTCTTCCTATAGAGCTTTATTTTGTTGCGTCAAATGGGTCATTAGGCACCCAGGCATAATTGTAGCTAGGGGTTGCCCATGATGTTTCACTTCCCCCTATATAGCTTTATTTTGTTTTAGCCTTGTAATTCTATCCATTTGACGGTAACACAATAATGAGTTATTTAGATATAATTTGCTTTTACTAACTTAAATGTTGATGAGATGATAACTCCAATATCCAAAATAATTTTCTTCCTCGATGAGCTCCAGTAATTAATATTGTAAATTTTTTGTTAAATTAGCATGTCCACACCTGAATTATTAGTTTAAATTTGTATTTGGAATTATGTTACTCGATTTCAATACATGTGTTTAGAGACTTTGAACCCATAAGAAAAAATTCTTACATCTGTCACTGACTTGCCTCTTATTTTATTTAATTCAATTAAATTGCCTAAAACTATATGCCGGTCAAAGTGCCGAAGGGAGTATATACGAAACGACGGTAGCTATTTAGACTTGTTTAAACATCATTTCCTTCTAAATTTCCTTGAACAAAAATAAGCATGTTCCAAAGAAAAACATAATATTAAAGACAGCAACATTTGTAATCAAATGCACCTATGCAAGAAGATAAAAAGGATGATGCCACATCCCTAAACAACATTTTAAAAAAATAATGGTTTGGTTTGATAATATTCTGGCATTGCTAATTGAAAATAGGGTCACAAGCTAAACTGGAGCAGAGACTTTTTCAATCTCCTCAAGAAACTCCTCAAGAAAGAGGAGCACGATAAGGTGTACCCTTTCTCTTGCGAGTCTTGGTCACTATTTTGGTTGGTACTGGCGATGGCGGTGCCGATACTGATGATATTTGTACTTGCTCAATTTTTTCTTCCACTTGATCAAGCAACAGGAATGGAGGATCAAAATCATTTTGCTTCTTCAAGAATGCGCCCACCTAAGATGCATATATATGTTTTAAATAAATGGAAAATAATAGAGGAGACATAATATGCAAATTGTTAATAACATTTGTTTTAAAACAAGAGAAGGAAATAGAGGGGTGGCAGAATTACCAATATAGTGATAGTCACTTTCTTTCAAAAAAAAAAAATTATAATGATAGTCACTGATTTTGAGTGAAAACCAAATAACAAGCTGCATGTTACAGTATATGATCTATTGACAGTGTGCAAGCACAATAAGGTTATGCTATTATGTTTAGTACCATTAAAGAACAAATTGAACAATGTTTTTTAGTAAAACCTCGTACCATCATTGTGGAAGTGTTTGGTATAGAAAAAAACAATTCAAACTGAACCTTGTTTTCTACGGAAAGTTCATTTCAAAGGAAATCAGTTCTCAAAATTTTATCTTCCTTTATTTGATTGCTTGCAAGAATAAGTAGAAATGAGAAGGGACAAAAGAGGAAAGGGAGGAGATGGTAAGGAAGATGTGGAATCCTTCAATAAATAAGGAAAAACTTTTCCAAATTTTCAAAAAACCATTTTCCACCCTAACAAAAAATTAAATTGCCTAAAAAAAGGTCTTCCTACCAAACAAACACAACCTACACTATAGTATGCAACTCTTATACACCATACTACGAGTATATAGGATCTTGAATTTAACCCATTTGAATTTAAGTTTGCAATTGCTTTCAAAAAGACTAGTAAAATGAGGCTACAAAAATTTAAAATCATGATACCTTACAGGAAATGGAGCAATAATCATACAATTCATACTCAATCAACCTTCTTCTGCATGTCTGGCATGCCGCCTCTTCATTTGTTTTCGCCCCTGAGTGTGGCAATGGAGTCAAAGCTACGACCAACTGCCTGTTGCATCTGTATGGCTGGATGCACATTCAAAGAAAGATTAGGTCAAAGAAACAGTAAATTGAAGAAGAAAAATGATTTAATTAGCCCTCATATTTATTGCTTTCCCAACTTGCGAATATATAGGGTAACTAAGCATCAAAAGCAAATTTTTGATTTTTCTCGTAATCTACTAGCCTTGTAACCCATATTAATTCTCATTTGGCTAACATACAGAACAATCCTGGAAGGTCAAAGGACACAAAAAAAAAAAAAAAAAAAAAAAAAAAAAAAAAAAAAAAAAAACACAGACACAGATATATATTAGCTTCCCATGAAATACACAAGTCCTTAATCCCTCCACCAACCTCCTGAATTTAGACACTTCTCCTATAATTTCCCTTAGATGAAAATTGTTGAAAAGGTTAGAGCCAACGGTCAAAAACACAACATTTTCACTGCATCCTCATGTGATAACACTGGTATATTCCAATGTGCAGTTATGTAATGCTAGGGAGATAAAGGAAATGTGGTTTCTGGATCGTCTATTAGCTACTGCAGAGGCAAGTATCATTTAATTGGTAATCAAATAAAAGACTAGCTAGACTAAAAAATATTGAAGAAGTCCCCAGTTTTTTTTATAGGTAGTAATCACCTGGATTTTTGAACAATCAATACGCCTCTCTATCTCATCAAGAGGAACCACATCCTTGTAAACATGGCGATAGATCTTCAAAATTCTATGGCCTGAATGGGAAGCTAGTGACACACAATATTGGCAGAGAGATGTATCACAGTCTATACAATACTTGTTTAACTCATTCCGGCGAATAGGATGTTCAGAGCAAGGCTCAAAGAAGGTTTTCTTGATAAACTTTTCAAGCCACCCTGGTTTTAACTTTCTTGAATCAACCTACAAAATAAAAAAATTGAGGCATGTAACATCATGTACTAGATTAAAATAATTAGAGCAGCTATTCAAAAATTAATAAAAAAAAATTAAAAAAAAAAAAAACCAATAGGAGGCCACTCAACACGTCAGATAAGTACTTCCTCTATTCCAAAAATATTGCAACAAGGATGAAATTACGCATTCCAAAACACATTTTATATGCTAAATATCTATAATTATATAAGAGTAAAAATTATAAAAAGTTGATATTGTGAATGTATTTTACGAGACAAATCTAACAAGACCCCACATGGCTACATTTTACTTTATGTATAAATCATAATATGTGGTCAAACAAGCGTGATGAATAGTGTAAAAGTCCAGTTGTTGCAATATTACTAGAACGGAGGAAGTATATCATAAACGAGGCATTAATTGAAGAAGTATAAGACAAGATGCATTACCTGAGTGCCCTGACTTGAGACTTCATCATTTTCAGTCTGAGGCTCTAAAGCTTGGTTTAGTTTCAAAACAACCTCACTATTGCCCTGGAAACAAAAAAAAAAACGAAAAACCATTGTGGGCGAAAGATAAGGATTTTAACTCCGTGGTTTTTTACCTACTAACTGCCAGACAGAGAATATTCTAACAAAAAAAACAGACGAATTTGCTGCTATTGTTGGTCAATCATACTAGCAACGCTATGGAAAACTTCTAGGTACAACCAAGACAACAACAGCCAGATATAGTGGATCTAGTATAGCAAAAGTAGTCCCTCAAGTGTACAAGGTCGACCCTTAAGACTACGTAGTTCTTATGTATGTAAAATTCATACAAAAAAAAGGTTATATTATTCAGCTAAGATAGGGTCAATGATCAGCAAATACCTAATAATAATTTCCATTCTTCAATTGTCTCTTATGATTGGGTTATACAGTCATGCTTTTTTACTTTATTAGCCCTAGTGCACTACTACCAAATCTATCAGCTTACAACCTTAAAGATTATATACCAATGTTAAAAATAAACTCCTAATCTGGCCTCAATTTCTTTTAAAACTGCACTCTCACTTACATACCTACATTAATCCCCAGCTGGCTCACCAAACTCGCTTCTTTGCCATCACCAATACTAAAACACGCACAAATACCTCCAGGCTCAACAAAATATAAGCACATTGTTGCTAATAAAATCATCTCAATAAAATATATGCAGACTTTGCATTAATGACATGTGTAATACAACGTTTTGTAACTACACGTTGGAAAGAAGATATTGGTAAGCTGTAATCTTTACATTGTTCCACGGGCTGTGTAGTTGCCAAGATAAGTGGAAACCTGTTAAAGCTCAGACGTTGACAGTTGACCTGATGAAAAGCCCATTCTCTATTTTTTGGGATAGAAATTTTTTTCTGACAACAATTTTGTTCTAGTGACTAGATAAGATCTGTTACTGCTGTTAATCAAAAGCAAGGTCAAGGTTCTGCAAAGATTTCGTAATTCTACATGTCACTTACTGTTCCTCCAGCCATTTAGCTGTGGGAAACACTTACTATTGAGCTACAACTAAGGTATTTAGGACTTGGTTTTTCGTTCACACTGTTTGATAGGCTCATAAAAAATGTATGGATCATATATTACATACAAAAAAACACCTAACAGTCTAACAATTGTTTGGTTAACCTTTTGGAATAAGATGGAATAATGTTAGTCTATTCCATCCACTTTATTGTTTGATCAGAGTCTTTTAGTATGAAATCTCATACCAAAGAGTTCTAACTCTACCCCATACCCTAAGAATTCCATACCCACCTCACCCCCTAACATTCACAATCTATTCCATTAATGGGTCACAAAAACCAATCCAAACCATTCCGACAATAAACCAAGCAGCTTTAGACTAGTATAGGATTTTGAATGCATTCCATCCTAGTATAAGATTCCATACCAATCCATTCCAATTTAACGAACCAAACACCCTATATTTTATATTCAGGGAATAGAGAAATCATATGTATGTCTATGGGGCAAAAATAATTTGAGCAAGAGGGGTAGGAGCTTAAGGGTACTAAATGTCCTGATGCACAATTAAGCCACTTCCACTGTCCAAGTATCACAGCTACACAACTGTGTACCTAATTTTAAATCTCAACCTCAAATCCATGATATTTGTAAGGCTCCATCCAGTTGGACCTTAAATATTGCGTTGGTATGGGTTCAGTCTCATCCGAAACTATACCTAATGTCTAGAAAGGAATAATGAAAAGACAAGACAAACAAGATCAACTCTCTTCCAGAACCTATCACCACTCTACACGACACCCCCCCCCCCCCAAACAAAAAAATTCCATGACCAATAATGCCACAGTAACAAACCACCAAATAAAAAAAATTAGTTTTCCCTGTCCTCCAAGTCATCACCGCTTTGACAACACACAACAAAAAATAATTAAAAAAAACCAAAAAAAAAAAAAAAAAAAAAAATTAATGTCAAACCTTTAATCTTCTTCTCTTAATTTAGATAGTTTGTGGATTTTTTGCCTACTAAGCTTCTAGTTTTGGAACTTTGGTGTGCTAACTCGAAAACAAAAGGTTTATTTTTAACTCAAAGGAGGATAAGAGAGAAAAGCAAAGGGTGGGGAGGACAACAAGAGAAACAGTGGTGACAAAGGATGTACGAGAATGAGAAAGGGAGGAGGAAAGAAGAGGGAAAGGATGGGAAGAGGAATAAAGAAATGAAGGAAGCAAGAGGGGGAATGAAGGGAGGTGAGCAGGTGATTGAAAGAGAAGAGGGGGGAGGGGGAGGGGTTAATCTGCAAACCAATTTAAATGCATGGGTTAATTCCTCACCCAGTAACTACCTGGTCCCAGAAGAGAACCAATCTGAGACTTAAATTCTAAGGCAAAGCATCAACTTAATTGGAAAAATAGTAAAAAAAATAAAAAAAATAAATAAATAATTTAAAAAAATAAAAAAGCAAGGGAAAAATGAAGAGAAAAACTTTTATTGATTGACATAAATGGTAACGAGCGTGAAAGTATATTGACTACAGCTAAAGAGGTGGGCAGAAAGAATTTAGTATCACTTGACATGGATAGCAAATGAGATAACTGCTGCAAACTGTCCAAAAGTGATACTTATCCCCCATAGTATTGATTACGATACAGAGCTTATAGGGCAACGTATTTTATGCTACCACAAAAAAAACAAAAAAAAAAAAAAAAAAAAAAAAAAAAAAAAAAAAAAAAAAATCTTCCTTTGGATTAATGGGAATAAGAAATAAAGAAACAAAAAAAAAACTTGGGGGAGATAGACTAGCTGGTAATCTTTCAAAGACATATTAATTTGATGAGAAGAGGATCACAGGTTTAAGTCGCTAGTTTGGCTTCAAGCTACATTTTCTATGTGAATTGTGAAGCCAGGACCTTGCTACAAGAATTCCACTTATCTTATAGGGCTTATTATGATAAACAGGGGTTCAGCAATTGCTAGAACGTAGGATGAGCCCAGAAGAATGAGACAGTCAGGTACATATACAAAGACGGGACTTTAGACATAAAGTAATTTCACTGTAGGTAGGTATCTTCACATCAGTAAACAAAAGAGACAGGATGCTCTTTTCATAATAATAGCCTTTAGTGTCTATACTAGTTAGCAATATCGAGAGATACGAGAAATAAAAGTAACTCATCTTACAAAATTTCTGCTGGATATGTGATCTGGGACGAGAGAGAATGCGACAGCCCCAGATGATATAAAAAAATCCTAATTTCATCACATGTTAGGGTGTTATATGTAAAAGAGAGGCAATAGCGATTATCAAAGGAAAAAAAAATACCCCATGTTTTGATTATTTATGTTTGGCAACACTAGCTGAATAGGAGCTGTAACTGATAAGATAGTTGATTGCACAAGTTTTTAGGTAGAACTAGTTGTTTATGTAGCTAATTTTTTTGGATTGCTGTTTAAAGTAAAACCTATGGATTAAAGATGGATAAATTTAAAGTTTCAGCTCCTTATTATGAGATGTTATAAAGAGTAGAATCTCACGTAAAGTCCTACTTCAGCAAAATAAATTTTATTTAAGGCACGTTCCAACAAAATGTCTAGTTATTTCAGCACCTTAAACATTTCAGAGCATTTCAGCTCCGTATTCAAAGTAGATGAAATGGGATACCAAACATAGCCTTCTAAAAGATCGAGTAAACCAGGGATGTATAATTGAGCGTGGCAAGATGACTAGATTATGAAAAACAAGTAGCAATTGGCTTAATATTATAGCAACGATTAAATCGTGGCAGAAATTTTTGAAGTGTACGTAGTGTCCAGTCAGCATAAAACGTAAAGTATATGTGGTAGCTTGTCTGCAAAAGGCAATATTTGTATTGAATTCGAACAAAGAGCGGTTAAACCTCTTTGTTTTTTTCCATTGATTTTCTAATTCTTTCTTTATTCTTTCAGGGAAAGAGTCACAAAGCACAGAGTGACAGACATAACCAAGTCAAGAGATTAACCAACAGATTGTTATATAACGGTAAATGACTAGTCAACTATTGTCCATCCGCTCTTTTGACTCTAGAAAACCATTTGAAGACTTCATTCAACACTTGATATATTACCACAAATAACAATCTAGATCTAAAATCAATTACTTCTATTAAATCCCGACCATAACTTCAGACTTGTTAATTAAACACTCATATTGTTAAGCCCATATAACTTTATAGTTCTAGTCAATTATTGTCCATCTGCTCTTTTAACTCTAGAAAATCATTTGAAGACTTTCATTCAAGACTTGATATATTACCACAGATAAATATCAAGATTTGAAACCAATTACTTCTACTAAATCCCAATCATAACTTCAGACTTGTTAATTACACATTCAATTTGTTAAACCCATTTTCCAGACATTTTCAAATGTTTAAAATGTTCAAATCATTTGCATGTTGATATATAGTTCTTAAGAGCACCATAAGACATAAACTTATCACAAAAAAAAGGATCCAATCAAGAAAATAAATCATCAACGATAAAATCAGTGCAACGAGAAATTGAAACATGAGCAACTTTAAGAACATCATCAGCATATTCAGTTTCCCATACCTCAAGTGCAACATTAGAGGATAAAGAGCTTTCCATTTTCACATCAAAAAGATCAGATCTTCCCTGAGACAAATTGAAAACAAAGGAGTAAATATGAAAGTCATTAATATGAATTTCTAAAGAATTTCATAAGTTTGGAAGAAAAATTGAAATATGAATGGCTTGATATCCAATTGAATAAACCTAAATCAAAGAGGAAAGATGAGTATGCTTCATAGTTTGATGAATTTAAGGTGCATCACTTTTTATCATGAGATGCATCAATTACGTTTACGTTGCAAAAAAATAACGTGAAAATCTGCTAGACTGCAACACACTATTGGTGTTTTAGTGAAGCTTTTTCATTCAGCACAAGACAAGAATGATATTAATTAGAGGTTTAATGCTATTGGCTGCTACCCCATGAAAAATGCAATAAATCAGTTAACATACTGCCAATTAATTTATAATTTCAAATTTACAAGCCAATAGAGAACTTTTCAAAAGAAAGTTGATGCATGTACTACGTCACAAAGAATTATCAAGTAAGAACTTAATTAATGTAATAAACAGATTCTATAATATTTCAGTTCAGTAATTATAAACGGCTATGCAAAGAACTTAATTAATGTAATAAACAGATTCTATAATACTTCAGTTCAGTAATTATAAACGGCTATGCAACTCTTTGGAAAAAATAAAAAAAAAAAACAGGACACCGAATTGTCAACTAATTTTCATATAATGTGCAATAATGAATACAAGAGAAAAACTGAGCAACTTCAAAGCAAGAAATGGGGCATATGTTTGTCAAAGTTAAAATCAATTATGACACCAATCTATCCTAGGACAGTATCAAATCTTCTGTTTGTGAAAGCAATCAATAGTATAATTTTGCCAGATGAGATTCTACAAGCATAATACAGTTTATAATATATACACATTGCAGACCAAATAAACTTTAAAATACTGTATCTTTTGATAATTACGTGCCTGAAATTGAGAAATGACACTAATTTCGAAATTATATTACTTTTATAAACAAATTCTGTAACTTCCTGGTCCTCTGAATTTCCACCAGACACATTCCCTATAATATGAAATTGAGCAGAATAATTATACAGAACGTTGCTTCATGCTTTGCCTTGAATTGGATTCACCTACCTGAGATACAGCAATAAGTCTTAGTTGGCTATGACACGTAAAACATTATATTATATTGTTTAACAGATTAATGTCTCGGCTAATAATACAAATGAGCAATTCTTTGAATATGCAGGTTTCTTCACCCTAGTTTTAGAGGGAGGAGAGGTTTTCAGACTAAAACAACGATGAAAGTTTTTTATTCTAAGAGGAATGCTACATTCCAATCTTTTCTCATTGATTAAAAAAAAATCTACAAGATCCCTTCCTATTTAATGATATTCGAAAAATTGCAAAGTATTTTCAATTGTTTTATACTATATCTGCTGCCTAATTATTGGAGTTTCCTTCTATGTAAATGTACAGCATTCAGCTAAATAATACATACAGAGGGCATCAATAAATCCCTGGGAAAAAAATCCAAAGCAGTTCAGTGACCCAGTGCAGCACATGAATTCACTCAATGATGATCGGATTATCTCTTTTATCCTTGCCCTACGGATGAGAAAAAAAAAAAGAAAAAAAAAATAAAATAAAATAAAAAAATAAGGAGAAGGTAATCCTATAAATAAAGTCTCTACATCTTTTTCCCTCCAATATGTGCATCAAGAAGTGCTATTGTACTTCTCCGACAATTTAGTAGTACTTAAGACCCCTGTGATAAGAATTTCCAGTTGATCCCAGGAAACAGGAAGTTCAATCGCAAAATTGCTGCAGCATAATTTGATTTTGTTATGAGTGTTTTAAATCAATATCAATAAACTAGACTGTAGTCAAATAACTTCTTGTCATTAATCTATGATAACAAGTTGCTAGGATGGAATCCATCCTGTCTATGTTGCCCTTCAATAGAGGCCATCCTCTCAATAGCATTTCACTTGTACTGAACTCAAAGAATACACAAATTTAAGTAAATGACAACAGAAGTGCGAATAGAATAATATATAACTGTATACCTTCATTTTTTCTGCCAATGTCTCTTCATCAGACGCAATTTTGTTTTTGATTTCATCAAGTAAAACTAATCTTGCTGCAACAATTTTATTCTGCACAATAAAAAGAAAAAATTAAATGTGGCACTTTAACATATACAACAAAAAGAGCTTGCAATGCTTCCTCTTTCAAAATAATGAACTTATTTTTCAAGTTTTTAAAAGGTTCCCAGGCAAATAAAAGTTAATAAAGCTTTCTTCAAAAAAAAAGAGTTAATAAAGCTTCATGAATTTAAGCATAGTTCAACTTATGAAAGAATAAAAAAAAAATTATAAATAAATTGTGCAAGGAGGGAGCAATTGAGCAAAGGTAGAACAATCACACATTATGATGGATCAAATAAAGATTATTAACCCATCATGTGGTACTGTTTTCCCTATTAGCCAATACTGAACATATTTCCACTTTTACATATGTCAATCTTGATTGCATGCTAATCCTTAGCATATGCACTGTCCAATTGTCATAACTTAAATTCAGATTTCTGGTCATCTAAGCCAACTGGAAATTAAGCAAGCAAGAAGAACAACCACACATTGAAACATTTTTAAGAAAACTAATATAAGGCCTGAAGGAAAATTCAACGAATCCAATGACAAAACACAATCAAGGGTAATATCTCTACAAGTAGTTGAGTACCAGAATAACACTAGTTGATTGTTAAGGCTGCACACCACTACTCATAGTCACTACAGAAACCAACAACATAAAACTTCCTCCTTGACATGAGCGATGCATCCATAAAAAAAAAATCATGACACTAAACATAAGTGCCAAGAGAAGTATTGCTAAGCTCTTCATTATGATGGAGTGATGGACTCTAAATTATTAGAAACATAGCTAACTGATAATGAAGGAGGTCAACATTCCAAACATGTATTCACCTTCTTCCATCCAGGGGCACTCTCTTCCCAGTTTTCCTTGCAGTTCAAATTTTCACATGACTAGAATGTCTGATTTTGTGAATGCAAATATATCACATGTTCCAGAACAAACATGAAAATGCTAGTTTCACATTTACTTTATTCAAGTTGCAAGTTAATACTAGAGGACATGATAAAATAAAGAAAAGAAATGAACCCACAAACGTCATAGCTGGAATGAAATGAAGATCCGATTTGTTCTTGTAAGCTTCTGATAACATGCTGACAAACTCATCAGTTACCTGTGTCATGTAGAAAATGTAATGTTTTTTCTCTTTGCTTAGAATCTTTGCAAGATAGGTGATTTAATGAAATTTCAAGTAGACAAAATAATTTTAGTACCGAAGTGGAATCATCATTCTTGTCATCACTCTGTTTATAAAGTTCTCCTTCAACTGGCCTGTGAAGAAAGACCAACAAATTTGTCGAGAATTAGATGAAAAGGCAAAAAAAAAGGACTTGAACAGAGATGTCAGCTTGAAGCCTGGAACTTACAAGTGCAGGACATTAATAGCTTCACTCGCATTTTTTTGCTTGATGTTTGAGTACATCTGATTAAAGGAATGCATACACTTATTCTGATGATATAGTATTCAATTGAATCATAAGACATATAGAAAGAACCAAATGGCTTTACCTCATTCTCATTAAAGAATTTGAAGTCCTTGCAGTTGATTTCTTGAAATTCTAAGTTGTCTATTCTGCAAAATAAGTACAAGATTTAAAAGCATTTCACCCAATTAAGTCTCCCATTTAATTAGTTAAGTACTTACCCCACATTTTGTACTAATAATTTCCTCATCATCTCAAGCCTTTTCTCCACTTCTGTATTGAAAATCTTGGCTGGTTTTCCCTGTAATAAAACAAGATTTAGCTTTTAGGAGGTACCCCAAAAAAATATATACAAAACATACTTTTTAAACACTGAATTACCAAACAACTACATAGGAAGCAAAGACTATTAATACAGAAGCACCAAGACACAAGGATATAATGTTGGCTCTATTGAAGTAATCACCTCTAATTTTCCTTGCATATATCTTTCCAGAATCTTCAGCATATTTTCATACTTAGCCTTAGAATTGTTGCACTCAATCCGACTTTTTGTTCCTGCCTCCTGCAGTGAAATGAAATGGAATGTAAGCAAGAATTCTCAAACAGTAGTATTGAAAACAAACTAAAGCTAAGATTATTCATTTAGCCTCTAAACTAAACAAAGTTACTCCAACCAAGGTCTTCTTAAGAAGAATAGATGACACATCTTTTTTATAGCAATGCAAAAATGGAAAACAAAAGGTGAAAAATGACTTGGGAATTAAAATAGCAGCCCTCAGATAGCATCCATGGGCTTTAGTAGTGAAGAAATAACCTGTTTAAGTTAAATGGGCGCATACAATCCACTTGGGAAGCAAGAAACTTATATTATTTCCTTGTGTCAAGAAATGATCATTAATCATATTGCAAACTACACAAGAACCACCACTAAATCCACAACTACACACAAGCAGCATTAATGCTAGCATACCAGCATAGATATGCACAACTGACAATCTATAGTTTCCCTTGTAAGAATAATTCCGAAACCAAACAACTACATGTCCTCTCATCTTCTCTTCTTTAAGATAGGTCAATTTCCAATTTGAGTCTAATTGTCTTCTAATAGAAACCATTACAAATCCATGAAATCCACTCTAATATCACTAAAAAAAACTTCCTAAATTTAGCCTTCACCAAATACTTCTCTGATAGTATGAAAAATGTCACAAGTTCAAAATGTCAAAAAAAATATTGTGCACACAACCCTAAGCTGTACAACTCTCAACTCCATAAGAATTTACACATACCACATACTCCATAATCAGCAACATAATTCCTAAACCAAATAATTACTGCTGTATTTCAAAAGATAATTACTGCTATAATAAACCTTTGCATGACATCAAAAATCAAACAATATGACAAAAAGCAGAAACTAAACCCTATAATTCACAAAAACCCAGTAATTGTACACAATTATGACAGTTAAAAATACAATTTGTAATTCCAACATAAGGAATTCATAAAACCCGGAGAACAAATACTACAAGTAATAACAAATACTACAAGTAAGTCAAAATTGAAAACTTGGAGCATATATAAAATAAAAAAATAAAAGTTCATATCTTTTTGCCCAAAATAGAAACAGAAGCAAACATACCTTCATTTTCATAGCATCTTGCATCAAATAAGGTCATATAAGATGGGTATTAAAGAATTTGATGTTAATTTCAAATTTGAAAGCATAATTGTGTAAAAACAAGAAAGGGTTTTGATTTTTTCTTCTTTTTTTAGGTAATTTTGTACCTTCCAAGTTTTGAAATTGTGCTCCGTAACAATTTAAGGGAAGAAAAATCTGAGAATTGGAATGGTGGGTTTGATAAGCAGGGAATGAATGCTTCATCAATTCCGAAGCAAATGTCACTTGTAACAATGTGCTTTTTCATGCTCTCCAATGCAGGTTTTTGCAGCTTTCTTTATGACTAATTAATGGTATTTCTACCTTCTCATACATATTTTTAACAGTTTTCATGGTGGAATAATTATGAGAATTGAGCCCGTCAATACCCAGATAAATAAACACAATTTGGTCTTTAAGATTTGTTAAGACTTAAGATCATTTCTGCATTTTATGATTGATTGATTGACCTCTTTCAAGTTCCAAACACAATTCACAAGTGGTAAATTACTAAATTTTAGAGTCCATCATGGACCGGGCAAGTTTCGAGATAATAAAAAGGTAACTCTAAGTGATTTTTTACATCAAAAATTAAAAATGATTTGGTTATTTTTAAGAAAAAAAAATGACTTGATGCTAAAATTATTTTTATTTATTAAATAGTAGATAAAAAAAAATCACTAATAAGTCATAAACAAATTTTTATATGTGGCTGGCCACACCTGTGGCCGAGGTTAAGCCCTGTTTACTTCACTTCAAAAAATAATATTTCAATAAAATTAATTTCACTTCAGTAAGGGCTTGTTTAGTTCACCTTATTTTTGTTTATATGAACTTATCTAATCTAGTCTGATCTTATCAGATCTGATTTAATTGTCTGATTTGACCAAACTTTGACCTTAAATGTACAATGATGTATAAGGAAAAAATATATTAAGTGGGGTCTTGTTAGATTCGTAAATACTTTGACCCATTTTGTGTGTCGAAAATATCTCGATTAGTGTGTCGTTATTTTCTAACTATGAAAGTTGACCAGGTAAGGTTTTGGGATCATTTGATCCTTAATGGACTCAAATTAAGCTCGGAATTGGCTAAATAAGTAATGTAAATGCCCTTTTTTGTGTGTTGAGAAATATCTCAATTTGCGTGTCGTTTTTTTTAACTATGTGAATTGTTCAGGTAAGGTTTCTTGTGGTCATTTGGATCCAAAATAAGCTCGAAATTGGCAAAAAAAATAATGTAAATGTCGTGTTTTGCGTGTTAAGATTGTAAATTTTTTACCGTAAAAATTGTAAAAATGGGCATTTACGTTAATTTTTTGTCAAATATGAGCTTAAATTAGTCTCTTAAAGGATCTAAATGACCCCCAAAACTGTTCCCAGTTAATTTTCATGGTTAAAAAATAACGACACACTAATCGAGATATTTTTTAACACATAAAACAGGGCATTTACATTATTTTTTTGCCGATTCCGAGCTTAGGTTGAACCCATAAATGATTAAAATTACCCCCTAAACTTTAACCGAATAATTTTTATCACGGAAATCGAGAAAAATGTTATTTTTATTAATTATAAAATAAATGATTAAAATGAACCAATCATATCATGATGTGTGTCATGATTTAATTCTAATGACTAACGGAGTTAACGGTCGTTAATCATTAATGGCATTCGGTGAATTTTTTAAAAGTTCAGTGACATTTAGTGAATTTTTGGAAACTTTATGACATTTGGTAAATTTTTTTAAAAAAACTCAATAACATTCGGGGAAATCACCGCATTTTTTACCACAATGAGTTATGACTTATGAGTTCTTGAGTAGCATTTGATTCAAATATGAAAGTGGATACATAAGACTGAATGGTGACACTTATAGACCCTTTAACCCAAAAAAAAAAAAAAAGGACACTTTGACCCAACCAAGATCCATTGTAGCCCAACCCAAGCACAGAAACAATGATTGGGCAGGTTTTGACGTAAATGATCCGGCTCGCTATGCTTTTCTAATCTTCTAAGAAAATAATGGAAACTCTTCTAGTGCAATATGAATATATTCCCTACGTTTTAATATAATTGTTACACTTTGACCTTTTGCATTATTTACATATTTTATTTTGAGTAATATTAATGATTTTATATACAAGAAAAAATATAGTCATATATATTGGCGGATCTATATAATTTCAAGGGGTAGTATGTGTTTCGGGGTTTTCTGATGTCCTGCGGGAGAGTTACAATTCCAAGACTGGAACCGGACGCCTGTACCTGCAAAACGAACGGATGCTCCGGATGATTGGAGATCCGCCTCCGACGGTCAAGTTAGTACTTGATTAAGGAGTAATTAATGCGGAAATTAAAGTGATTGGGTCTCTCTAGGTGAGAGTGTTTAATGTGTGTAATCTGCGTTTTTAGCGTGTCCTTTTTCCCTTAATGAGGATTAAGGGAGGTATTTATAACCTCGGGAAACGTGTCAATCTAGGTTTAGGTTAACCCTGGGCTGATTGGGCTTCCCTCGGAAGTTGGGCCTAGGTGACCGGTTATCCCAGGTGTCATGGGAAGGACACGTGTCGTGTCGTAATTGGTCCATAGTGGACGGATCATTGCTTGACACGTGGAAGGCTCCTATTGGCCCATGTGACGGACACATGGCGGAACCTGATTGGTCCACTTGTCAGATGGTGATTGGTGGGGAAAAATCCCCTAATCATTTGCCCCTCACAGGTGGCACGTGACTGGTCACGTGTTACCTGTGACAGGTATCGCCCTGTAACAGGCGACGGCCTGCTACAGGTGTCAGTCGGCGAGAGGCCGAGAGATTCTCCCGCCAAAATTTTGAATTCTGGAAGTGACCCTTCGCCTTCTCACTTCGCCTATATAAAGGAGTGTTGACTTCGGTCATTTTCACACTTGAAAACTTTGTGAGAGAACATTCGGACCCCTGAACTTGCTCTGACATTTTGGACCCTTTATGCCTACCGTCTGCTCTGACAAGCCGACTGCAAAGGATTTTCAGAACTTCATCAATCGTCACTCGTTCAGGTAACCGTCGGCTCTCTTACTCTTAATTTTCTCTTTACTTTATTCTTTTTTGAAATGGCACCACGGAAGCACACGACACGACCTAGGTTAGTGATCAGCCGGTCACCGGGGACGGCTGAATCTAGGACTAGGAGTGCCGCCTGCCCTTTTCTGGACCCATCTTTGCCCTTTATACAAAGTCCGACTGTATCTGTGTCTATGCAGAGCATGATGGCCAGAACAAAAAAGACTGCCAGGATCTCAAACTCAGACGGCTCCTCCCACAGGGTGCCGATTAGTGAAACATCTGACCAGGCGCCAGATGTGGAAGTGAAACAAAGCGGCTTGAAAGCCGGCAGTTCTGAGGGAGGAGTCAAAGTGACCCCTTCCCACTTTACAGTTGACAATTCTACATTCTCTCCTGCTCCTTTTAAAGGAGAGGAGGCGGGCCCCTCCGGGAGAGGGGAAGAGTCGTCCTCTTCGGACTCGTCAGAGGACGATTCCGAGTCTAGCTCTTCTGGCCATGCTTCCTTGGACACAGAAGAGAAAAACAGTCGCCTACAAGAGGCGAGGCTTTCTCACGCAGTTGAGAAGGGGGACGATTGGGCGGAGCCATCCGCCTCTCACCGAGAGCAAAATACCCCCTACTACTGCACGGTACCTCGGGGCCGGATCACAGCCATGCAAGAGAAAGTGGAGAGCTTTATCGCAAACCACACAATGGGCCCCGGCTTTTTAGTGTTTGTGCCGGATCCAGAAGACACAGTCGTCTGGCCGGCTGGTACCAGTTATGATAGCGCCTGCTTTGGCTGCTACGAGGCGGCCATCAAGGCTGGGCTGCGCTTCCCACTACATCCGGCTATTCAGCGGATCTTGGATGGGTATGAGTTGGGGTTATGGCAGTTAGCCCTGAACTCCTGGGTCAACGTACTCGGCTATGTGGCCGGGTGCGAACTGCACGGGGTGGAGCCGAGCTTCGAGGCTTTCGCCCACATGAACTACCTCAGCCGGACCCCTAAGGCAGGCGGTACCGGCTGGTATCAATTGACGAGCCACAGGGGCTACCTCATGACGAGAGGTAAAGCAAACAAATGGAAGGACTGGCGGAGCACCTTCCTCATCATTGAGAGTTCAGACACAGAGCTCAACAAGCGCTTCAACAGGTGGAACAGGAATCCGCCCCTTCTTGCAGGCGGCCGCAGCATGCCGCCTGTTCCCCCCAAGGCTAAGAAAGAGATCCTAGATAAAGGACTCTTCAAAGTAGAGTCGAAGGTGAACTCTACTTCAGGGGTACGAGAGCAAGTACCCCTGTACTGCGTCCCGAGCTTCAAATGGCTCTACGACGAGTACTTTTTGGCCGCTTGTGGCCTCAGTAGTCGGTGCTCAAGAGGTAGCCGGCCTGTCGAATACTCTGCTGTTCCGTGCATTTCTTGTTATGACTTTTATTAACTTTGCTATTTGTTTTTGCAGCGGACGCCATGAGCAAAATTACCGCCTCCAAGACTGCGGCGGCCATGTTGCGGGCCTCCAACATGCAACAGTCTTCAATCGACTCCCCCAACAAGGGGGCACCCTTGGTGGGCTTCGAACCTTTCACCCTCTTTTTGGAGTTGTGTTTATGCATATACTGACTCTTTTCTTCTTTTTTAGACGGGCGCTCCAAGAGCTTCTTCTTCCCAACATCCGGACCCCAAGGCCCGGAGGACGACTGTTGCGAGATCTCCTGGTTCTGCCAGGAAACATGCGGCGGCTGAGAAACAGCCGGCCACTTCTTCTAAAACTCCAGCTGGCCACCTAGAAGTATGAAATTGTCCTTGTAAATTTTAGACTTGCTCCCTTCTTTACTAGGTCTAATCCGTTTGTTTATGCTTGATGCAGCCGGCCCTCAGGAGCCTGACTTGGTCGAGGTGGCCAAGTCTATGATCAAGGCCGTTCCTCCAGCTGAAAGGGAGGCGGTCAGGGGTGTCGGCACCCTTGACCTAGACGGGATTGCAGGGGTCCTTGCTGAGGTATACTTAGCATATTTTTGAGTATTTGAATTCCAGGACGCCTGTTTTCTTTTTGTTTGGAAACTGACGCATGTTCCCCTTTTTACTTAGGCCCTGCTCCGAGTGAACGGCCTTCGCAAGTCGCTTGACCGGAAGAACAAAGAGGTAAAGGCTGCAAAAGCTATGGCCGCCTCTGACTGTGATAAGGCAATGTTTCAAATTGCCCAAAATGAAGTTCTGACCATTGATATTCTTTATTATCAGGCGCAGGCTACCGCCGCTATCCGGGCTCAGTTAGAGGCGGCCCAGAAGAGGAATAGCGAGCTGGAGGCGACCATCAACAACCTCAAGGCCGAGCTGAGACCTCTTCGCCAAAAGATGTCCTCATACGAAACCTTGGAGAAATCCTTGGCGAGC